TGGTGTCACGAAGCCGTATGTTTTCCGGTTCTTCTAATATAATTATTGTTTTAATAGCCATATAATGTGTTGGCAACACCTTTGAATCAGATTAAAGAACTTGGGTATATTTCTGAATCTCGCATACTGGATGTACATAATGTTGATGTGAGTTCATTTATCTGTGTGATAAAGGTGGTATGTGAACTGTCCGATCATGTTTAAATTAAATTATAAATAGGATTTGCATAATTTCCAGGTTTTAAACGTACACCTGCACGAAATGGGGTTTTTCTTCATTTCTATTCCTGGTTATACGGGGAAATGAAGTTAAGTGCCTGTTTTTTTACTGGCGATAATTATTGAAAATTTACTTATGACTAGTGTTATTTATGTGACTGTGGAGTGTAAAACTGACTTGAGCCTGGTACTGAGACCCCGAATCCAACGATGCGTACTGAAAACGAAAGATTGGTATTAATTTTTATTTGACTCCCAAAATGAAGTATACATACACTACTTTCTATATGATCTTTGTACAGTCAACCAAGACTGATTAAATCTCAGTCGAAATTATCAATAACGGGATAATCTAAACCATTTCAAATTGAATTAAGTCTCATATCCGTTGTATGATTGACTGTCCAGTCTCGTTAGATAATTAGATAAGGTGATGGCATTCGAAGCTAATCGTAATGTGTCCGAGTCCCAGTTTGAACATCCGCTCAGGTTCAGATACATCCAGATGACGAGTCCCAAATAATACGAGGTGCATTGCAAGCCACATCCCATTTATTCTGTATCAATTTGTGTAGTCAGATTAACAATTAGATATTTTTAATTTGATTGAGTATCATTTAACAATAATTAATCAGTAGTTTTTTTATGTCAACACATTTGCGACATAATACTGACCTAATTTTAATCTTTTGGTTGTCGAAACAATTAGATCATTTTTCGTCTTATAAAAGCTGAAAAACAATCACTTAGGTAATTAAAATCCTCAATGTTTTATTTGTGCTGCTTATGGTACTGAGGCGTTACAATTTTGGAAATTCATAATTTTGTGGTTCGAAAATTTGCATAGTTTTCATCGTGCTGATTCTAGGTTCAAATGGGCAAAATGATGGAGCAAGGACCAGTGCTGATAATTACATTCCAAGCACAACAGATAAATTGTATTCGTGACAAAAACAGAAATCTACATGAAGGTGATCCAAATAAAGTATTACGTGTGACAAATGTTTGGGCTTTGTGTCGTGATCAAAGTGAAATGAATCCACTAGCAGCGTGGCGTGTGTTAGATATTGCCATGATGCCATCTGAACAATGGATGTGATAACTGTTCTTATCCTAGCACCACAAATTGTGTATTTTAAATCAAAATTGGTAAATATCTTGTTATTAATTTTCCTACATTGAAAATGTATGTACAGCTTGATTACCTAATCTTTTGAACAGCAATGCTTTTTTAATCTCCAGACTTCGTAGAACACGCACAATTATCGTCTAAACTTTAGTCGATCAAGATTTTGTGAATACTTTCTTGATTCGGGTAACTTTTCTTCTACACAAAGCATTTATATGTAAGTATTAAACTAGATTTTAGTCAAAGCAATGAACTTATGTTTCGTTTTTTTCGGGCAGTTTGAAATCATTTTTTTGTCCTTTTTTGCTTCAAAGTATTTGTATTCATTATTAATCTAATTGCGAAATATTTTATACATAATTCAATATCTCTCCACAACTGATAAGAGTAGACAACCAAATGTCAATGGGATGATAACGTACTAGATAGAAATAACCTTTGAGCATATACATCAAAAGTGAATGTATCGACATTTTTTGCGTAAGTTATATCGGACTAATATATATATATATGATAAGGGCAATCTAAGACCAAGTTACGTATATATACTACTTTACGTTCAAAAGAAAATATTATTTTATTGAGTCAAACTCCACTACGGAGAGTTTGAAACTTTTTTAAATAGATCTTTTTCTGTAGATACATTCGACTATCTATTTAACAGAATGTTATTTAGAATACTAAGACAGGCTTAAAATCAAACCATGGTCCATCTTAATACTGGAAACCATATTACGCTGTTCGCGTTAAGTCTACTTAATATCATAGCCCAATTAAGATGTTCTGTACGGTCTTATGAAAATCATAAGTAAGAAATATGACTCAGTACAATTACAGTTGCTAAATGATTAAATCATAAAGCGCACAACATATCGCAGATTTTGGAAAGTTCTCTATTGTATATTCTCGCTTGATATTTGTTATTGATTTGACCTCGTGTAACGGAAACCCTTCAACTGTAGACATTGATTATCAAGCAGACAGCACCTGGCATACCTTAGACTAGCATGTGGTGACTTCCCAAGCCGGTAGGATGTCTGACTTAGCTGATTTTGCTTTTTCTTAATTTATTATCATGCAGGTCTTTTAATCACAGTTGTGGGTGGTCAGATTACTGTTTACTAGTACTTTATGCCTAATATTAGCACTTCTCAATCTCCCGTTTAAATGTACACTAGAAGTGACGAGTATGCAAGTGACCAAGACAAAGACATCATACTTCAGATAAAGGACGTTGGATCTCTGTACTAAGCTGTTTTCTGACTTGTACGCTAGACCTCCAATTACCTTGACATAATCGAAAGTGATTAGAGTGCTTTTCCTCCCGAATTACTGTCATACCGCCGTACGTTTACAGCCTATTCCAACTAAGTCTTACTGGTTTCATATTGGCAAAGATCCTTTCACATAAGTCAGGATGCGAAACCAGATGGCACGTGTGCTCAAACTTAATATGATGAAACCCAGAGCAGCTTTTAGCACTTTCGCTCGTAGAATTTCGACTATACAGTGTCTGTGAGATCAGCTCTGATGGAAAATGACCCTAGTCTGAAAGATTGTTCACATTCGGTAAGAACACTACATGAGTAACCTCGAAGTCGTAGAATGTGTTCAATTGAGTGATTGTAACTGTTGTGTTTAAACGATCTTGAAACATCGGCTTAGGTATCGTGGATATACTATATGGATATCATCTTAATGGATTCAGCGTCACATAACTTCTGAAGATTCCTCAATTGAGCTCAGAAAGTGGAAGTAACTAGCTAACGATACATCTATAAAAGTTCCATCTTTCAATCCACCGAAACTTCGATGGGCCCCAAAAATCACTAACTCGCTGTGTTGTGGTTTTATTCGGGATGGTCCGAAAAAGATAATGGTGATCCGGCTGTAACTATATATATAACCTTCGTGATTAAATGAAACATGTCCTGTGTTTTTTTCTTAAAAGAGGTATACATCTAAGTAATTACTGTTCTTTTTCATTTATTTCTTAATTATGTGACCATCCCCTCTTTTGCTTTATCCGAGGTATCATTTTACATATTGAGATTCTGTATTGTACCAAAAGTCATGTTTTATAAGTATATATTAAAACACGACTAAATTATTCAAAGATAAATAAGTAGCATATTATTCAAAGAAAACATCTAGTTGTCGAATCTTTACGTGCTTTTTTTAAGCGCTTCCAGTAGTTTCTCCTGTTTTACTGCTATTTCTGTTAGTAAAAATACCCTCACATTTGGATCTTCAATCTGATTAATCTCTTTCTGGAGCTTGTTTACAATTTCACCAAAAACCTCATCTTTATCCTTAATACCGGTGTTATCATTTGACTCCTCGATTCTCTTTATGTGGTACTTAAATAGATTTTCTGCATATTCAATCCACACACAGTTTGCGCATCCAGATTCACAACAATAGGAACGGTGTGGAGGTTCTGGTTCAGAATCACTATTTGGAAAATAGTTTCGTCTCCATAGACGTATTAACCAATTGGATACAGTGCATATAGTAGAATGATTGAAATTCAGTTTTCGTAATAAACCCATGTACACTCACTCCATGACATGTGTATAAAACAAAACAAAATAAATAGATATTTTATAGTGATTAAAGCTTGTAAGTGGACGGATGGCTGTTAATACAAATAATTTATATTCATTTACTGAAAGATGTACTCATATAATTTATGGATATTGAATTATAAAAGGCGATCAAAATAATCTGGATACCTACGCTACAAAATTCATCGTATGACTATACTGTTGGTTTTGGAAATATAATGTCTACGATTCTTGGTTTGTGTTTCATAGTTGTACAAAATGTAAGACATCTGGGAAATATACCAGTGAAACGACTGAATCAGTAAACCTGCGATTTACACACGCGTAAGTTATAATGGAATAGGAAAGAACTTCAGTCCATTTTAAACGATAAAAATGCAAAAATAATAATCTGACGACTATCTTAAGTATATGTATTTTTCTAAAACTATTAGACGTTTTTGTAAGCAGTATGGGAAAAATCGGAGATTTTGGAATACTACTGAACTAACTAGGTGGGTAAAACTTGTGTTTAAATTTGTTCATAAGCTAAAAATATCTTCTAATTATCTCTTGCATTAGTCATATGGTGCAATTAGTAAGAGTTCACCTGACGTAAAACTATACTGACTGATGTTTCGACTTTAACATTAGTATCCCGTGCCAACGTTCTGTCAAAATTTAAGACTGACTATTTTATCTTAGTGAAACAGTCAAATATGAACTTAACAAACGGAAGTTACATTGATCGCAGATACTCTTAGCTAACATTTTGTGGCAGTTACTTCAGATCAGCAAGGAAATGGAGTTGAAAAATTTAAGCATGGGAATTACATAATCAGTATATTACGTAAGGGTACTACGGCTTAATGTTACAGTAATCTCAGTGTACGAACTATTGCTAACGGGTGGCAAAAAATCCCAAACTGTACACATAACATGCATGCAAAATCAATATTTCGCGTACAGACAATACTTCAGTACACAAAGTGACTTCAAATAGCATTTATTAACAAAGAAATATACAATAAAAATATTTCGACTTTATGGTGATTTAGTACTAGCTGAAACTCGATTTCACAAAAATCACTGTAGAAACGATATGCTTATTTTTTACTCCACTGCAAATGAATTTGTTTCAAACGTTGATGATATCTTTCAGGAATATTTAACTCTGGATAAACAGTAAGAAGTCTGTCTGAATTTAGTAATTCTTGTAAGTTACGATACACGTAAGATTCTGAATCCATTGATTTTACATCGTTCCCAGTTTTTGAATTGTCACTTGCACATAAACATGATAAGCCAGAAAGAGAAAGGTAAGTATGAAGTGGATCTAAAATAAACAAGGGAATTACAAATAAACCATATTTTATAAGTCACCAAAAATAAATATACTAAGTATACTTCTTATGAAATTATATCCTGTAGAAACACTGAATTTTGTCAGACAAATATCATCAACATAAAACTTGAGGCAGATGTACTTTGTTCTAAGTTGTCATGGCACATTAGCGCTAAGAGATAAGAATAAGATGAATTGCGAAATATATCGAAATAAGCAGTGATAAGGAAGAGTAAACATGGAGAATATGTTTTGAACAAACCGACTGGAAAATTCTGTGTGAAGTGGTACTGAAATTCGAGATCAAGAATAAGTACATATCCGCTATTGTGAACGACTTCGATCTTTTAAATCATACAGCACTCCACACTGCTGTTTATTAGAAGAAAGCACAGGCCTAACTACCAGACACTCAAAATTAAGTTCCATAGTGATTTATTTTCCGATGTACGTTATTTAGTATTGTCACGGAAGAATTTACAATTACTAACAAATAAACAATACATCACAAAACTGTGTGGTCCAGATATTGATCAATTTCAAGACTAATGAGGCCTATTTCATTGAGGGAGTACAAAAATAAACTATGTACAGGTCAAGTGCATTTCAAATATCGAGTGATAAATTAATTTGTTTTGTGGTACCCACTATCTTTGATTAGATAAAGTCAACATGGACGGTTCGTGACAACGCAAAATAAAACGAGAAGCCATAAGTGTAGAGATATTGTTTCTCGTGTAGCCCCTTCGTATAGTTTAAGTTTGGAAATTATGTTTCAAACATGCAGAGAACACTTTGAGAAAGCAAAAAACACTTAGTAAGGAAGTTAATAAGTTGCACTGAGTAGGGTATGAGAACAGCTAGGTTTTTACCTGGGGTACAAAACTGGTCAGGAGTCTTTGTGAATGCCCCAATAACATCATTCCAACATCTTGTTACAAAACGAACAGCTGAGTTCTTATCGACCAGATGGTGACAGTTTAGTATCTATTAAAGAAATAATTTAAAACATTGAGGTTGATAAATTCACCCAATTCAAATTATGTTAACCCACAACAATAGGATTGACTAGGGAGTTTTTATTACTGAATGCATTTACAAGTGATATCAATGTGTGACGTAACCTTAAACTCACTGGCCACTCGTACAATCAATATAATACACGAAACTTCGAAGCAAAATACTTATCAATGTTAAAAATTTCAGCTACGCGTAAATAGTGATGCTTTACGTATGCAACACTAACTGCAGTTCAGCAGGATTTCAGGTCAGTTGTTAATTGAATGACTCAACAACTAGTGAGTTTTCGTTCTGTAACCAAACAGTCGCCGATAAACTGTTGAGCACGTCTTTTCTATAAGACGAATGTTTCATATTACGCTTGAAAATGAGCAATCTACAGTATCGCAACTAGATTCTTGTTAGGAATTTATTTATAAAATATTTACAACACATTTTCTCACAAATAGCTTTTAACTTTATAATATGATTTAGACATTGAGTAGCTATTTGGCATCGAATTAATATATAATTGAACAGCTAAGTAGTAACATAATAGCACTTATGCACCACACAAACTCAACATAAGAGAATACACATCTAAAAAAATTCGAGAAGACGGGCGGTTGTATACTTTTTGTACATGCATCAAAATGTAAATCAACAGAATTCCATAGGATTATGGCGAAAAGTGAGTGTTACGAGACTTACCTTAAGACTAGCACAGACCCAAAATGTGTAACATGTATCATCTGGTTTACCAACACGCCCATGAAATCCTTCTTCTTGTAAGTTCAATAGCCATTTAATCAACAGTTCTCGCGACTTGGATCCAGATGGGATAACGGATTCTAATTTACCTATAAGAGACAAACTAGCTACTGCACAGTAAGTAGCTCCAGCATGTGCTTCCAAATACGGTAAATTAGCGAATCCACCTTGGTAAGTCTATTGTGTGGATAGATAAAAATACGGAAAGTATATATATATATATATATATATATATATATATATATATAGTCATGTGGTCAAAAATACATAGATCATGTGATTGCTTAAAAAATTGAATAAAAGTTAAAGGTACATCTAACGACAGGAAGAACTCTAACGTTTGTAGTGGGATCGAACATTCTTTCCAACAATAAAATTGTTAGCTAGTAAAATGAGGTCTTTTGGTTTTGAGTATCAAGGATTGTCAGGTCTACCGTGAATATGCGCTTTATTTATCGCCTATTTCCACAGTAAACACGAAGCACCTTTCCATTAGAATTAGAGAACCAATGGAAAATTACACACCTGGCATTTTGCGACGAAATCAGCAACGTTTTCACAATTGATAGAATCTAGTCCATTCAAAATATAACAGCTGGCAACTGCAGAAAATACGAAACGCATGTCGCGTTCCCCACATATATCTCCTGCTTTGAACAAACCAGGCTCATCTGAGCACTGCATGGCCGATAATCCAGCCAGAGTTCCGCGTCTGTCTACACGAGATAAGTTATCACCAAGTAACAACAACGTGGAAAGAGCTGAATAAACCATTGTTACGTGGCTTCCATCATACTTCGAACGGACCAACTTAGCCTGAAATAAGAAAAACTTTAGAGTTAGATTGAGTGGGCCGAACAAGAAATTGTAACTTGAGAAATGTAGTTTACCTTTCGGATAGGACAACAGACAAGACTTTACATATAGTCTGCTAAGCGTTATTATTAACTTTAGTTAAGGATATGTTACTGTTGACCTAGTACTTAAAGGTTTATTAAATTATTCCTATTAAAAATACTACAAAATAAATATACTTAGTTATCAAACCTAGACACAAACCACGGATGTCACTGTCAACCAAATTCGATTAGTTAAGACAGTATTTACGGCTGAACCCCTACTGTTTTTATATCGCTGACTTGATTTCATGAGAAAATATCCATACGAATGACGCAATCTGACAGCTATGTACATTCACAAACTAGGACTCCTACCTATAGCTTAGAATTATTAACAAAGGTAGTACTCTAAGGGAATAAGATAAATCACTTAAATCTGTGAATTAATCAGGTATGTCAGGCGAAACTGTGCCATTTATTAACCAAAGGGAAAATTTACCGCACTATAGAAACTTATAGAAGTTCACTGTGTTGCTAAGAACGGCCGGACGAATCAACAAACTTTCGAAGACAACTGGTAACATAATATACCAGTCATTTAATACAACAAAACATTCAACAACAGACAAGAGTAAATTAAATTTCCTACGACTGCAAAGGTGTAAAACTCCTTAATTTTTGAACCAATTTTCTGTTGCTAAGATAATAATTCGGAAAATATTCCATTTTTACTAAGCAAATTATTTATTTTACTTATTTTAACACATAAATATTGGTACAAGACGGCACCAAATATATGTGCGCCACACAAAACAATGAGAATTCAAAGAGAGGAAAAAGAAGGTAAGGAGTGTAAAAAGGAAAAATAACGAACAGATTAGTGTAAGGTAGTGTAATAATAATGGGGGAAACGGAAAAGTACAACCAGAAGAATTCTTTCACTTAAGGAAAATACAACCACTTTTTATGAAGAAAGTAAACGAAGGTTACAGTAGGATCGCCACTGGCTTTTATTCCGGGTCATATCTGATAACGCCTCTAGCCACTGTGTTGTACCATCTCTAGGGCCCCAACCAGGGAGTCGTGAAGGACCGACAGAAGCCAGTCCTTTGCAGCTTTCCTTCATGCCACGACACCATGTCATGCACTGACCACCTCTTCGCTTCTTCCAACCAGTCCAGAGTCGGCAAATAATGCACGACGTGGAATTCTCTGGGACGACATTCGTGGAACATGTCCAAGCCGCCGAAGTCGGTGTTTCAAAATGGTGACACCAACTGAATTATCATCTCTGTGCCCGAACACACGATGCCGAACCTCTGCATTACTCACATGGTGTTGCCACTGAATGTCAGCAATCCTTCGGAGACAACGATGATCGAACACAGAGTCGTCTAACATCCTCAACTCGAAGAGACCAGGTTTCACAAGCATAGAGCAAAACTGCTCTCACCGACGCGTTGTAGATCCGACCTTTTACAGCCAGACTAACATCACGAAGCCGCCAAAGGTGGCCCAGATTGGCATAAGCCGCTCTGGCTTTCACTATTCGTGCATTGATCTCATCACTCACGCCACCACCAGCACTTATGCAGCTACCCAAATACACGAACTTCTCGACTACTTCTATCTGCTCACCATTCAGGGTGAGTACAGGATTAGAATCCTGCCAGTCTTGTAGAAGTACTTTGCACTTCGAAGGTGCAAAGCACATATGATACCTACGGAAACTGCCAACTGATTAAGTGCGGATTGCATGCCTTGGGCATTATCGCACAGTAAGACAATATCGTCCGCATACTCAAGGTCGAGAAGTCTTTCTCCAGGTAACAGATCCACACCGCCATTACTTACATTCATCAGAGCTGTTTCCAGAATGTCATCGATGGCAAAGTTGAAGAGGAATGGTGATATTGGGCAACCCTGCCTAACCCCACTGCTCGAATGGAACAATGGAGAGAGGTGGTTGTATGCCTTCACTCTGCCTGTGTTTATATATAGGGCCTTTAGGATGTTAATAAACTTCTCAGGCACACCCTTCTTCAATAGTAAATCCCAAAGAATAGTCCTGTCCAACGAATCGAAGGCAGCCAACGTAAATTACGATGTATTAACTGTCTGGAACGAACTGTATGAACGGACAGATATATACGATTAGATTCTTGTGTCGTACGCGCTGAAAGTAGTAAAACGGTCGATTTCTATTAATAATACGGTGGCTTTCACAAATAACCGTCCTATTTAGAATGCATATACCTGCACATTACCTCATTCACACAGTACTCGGTAACTGGTGTAAAAATGGAATTCCCTGTAATATTCTCTAGTATCTTAAAAGTCTAACTTTTCGATAGAAAAAGGTTGATGTTAGTTAAAACGGGTAGTTCACTAGTCTTATAATAATACCAAAAATCTCCTTACTAAGCATCTTATTATTAGTATAGGGCTGTGGAGATTGCTATCTTTGTTAAATTCATGAACCGATCAATGCTAAACCATCACTGAAAATTTGGAAGAACTGGACGGCAGTTTTGTTCTAGTATGAAAATCAGTAGTGCATATCCAAGATTCCGCGTGCGCGACTCAAACCCAGGACCTTAGGTCTTGCGCGAAAACTTGACCTATAGACCACTGAGCCGGAATTTAACGGTTAATGCTTAACTTCAACCAATTCACGATACTGTGCGGTCACCTTTTATTATCTTCAGTAGGTAAGTACCTCACACGTTTCGATGCCAGCTCAACAGTCGAGAGGTTAGGTGTTCGCTCGATACCAGAGACCCTGAGTCCGAGTCCCTCATATGGGATCGCGAACATGTACCCATGGAGAGTCCCATACAAGGACGAAACGGCCATCCAGTTCCTCTAGGGTTTTAATGGCAGACAAGCATTGATCGGTTCATGATCTCAATAAAAAAACATTTCATTCCTGATGTATTAAAGTAAAAAGCACTCGAGAACTATGATATATGAAAGGAGCAGTTAAATAATTGTTCCTTTTTCTCGATTATAAATCTTAACATTATGGATCCTGATTTGACGGAGAACTCTTAAAAATGACGATTCCAATTACGTTTTTATTTTATTAATTAAACTACTTATAGTCGAGGAAATCTCCCTTCAATTCGCTATTCCAAAACGTTTATTCATAATTTATACATAAATACGTATTTTCCATAAATACAAATTTATCAAACCGCCGGAAATTTGTGATAGCAGAGAATGTTTCGCAAGATCACGTAAAAAGAAAATATGAACTAAATTATGATCTGCAAAGTCTAGACTGGTGAACAACCACATGACAATTATTTATTTCACAGAAAAACTCTAAATCACTGTATTCGTAGCTTATTTTGAGGGGATACAAGCCCTATACAGCCGAGAATTCTCAAACTGGATATTCATTAGTGATTGAAATGTAAAACACACGTAGAACGAAAACGCAGATATCCTTGAGTGTCAAGCAAGACACCTGATGTGGTAGATTATTTTATTTTATTTTATCCCAACACATAAATATTGGTACAAAAGGGTACCAAATATATATGCGCCACACCATATTTGTGTGTGTGGGCTGTGATACTGCCCGGGTGCCCAGACCGAAACAGGTGGTTTTCTTAGGGGGCCACTCCCCGAGCCTTTGACCTAAAGGTCTGATCCACAAGGCAGTGGAGCATCGTGAGGAGATGCAGTCCCATGGTAGCCGGTGACCAACGATTGGTTCATACGCCATTTCTTCTCGCAGGATACTTGAGCCCATGTGCACCATTGGTTTGGAATCCGGATAAAGCGCTGAACATTCGCTTTTCGACCTCTCAATTTCGTAGACAACAACCCCGCCACGAGAAGGCAGTGAGTAGGACTTCCCTGGCAGATGCTGTATACGCGTGGCCGTATGAGAGCATTTCGAGAGGGAGAGCAGGCCCACTTCACTCGGCCATACCAGGGCATTTGGGGGGATGTGGTATTTAGATAGTTTACTAGGAAATTACGAGATATTTGGTGATAGAGATTTACAGAACCATAAAATACTCCACATAAAACGTGTTGCGAATAAGCTCCTTAACTAGAAAACTTGATAGTAAATACTTGAAAGAAAAATTACAGGCAACTTAACAAATGTCAACAATCTTGCTAAACATCAATAAGATCTACTCGAAAACTCTAGCCATATTTGTATTCATTAAAATATAGTCTTACTTCTTCAGGATCTGAAGAACAACCGATGAGATTTGAACCTCTGAAGCCCCCCTTGTTGTCTTGAATATCTGAAAATTAACACAAAGTATTATAATTAAATCAAACCAGTTGACAATATTTGGTGAGAGTATATAAACTCTATGATTTCATTCTTATCCACACTGTCCAATGCATCTAAAAGAGCTAAGCCACCGGATGCGAAAAATAAAACAACAATTCTTTAACAAATTTTTGCCATCACAAAGACATCAAACCTAGATGAGTCAAGAGAAACCATAGAATAAGGAAGTATTCCAGTGCATCTCTTGAAGTAAATCTGCAGCTTTTGCAGAACTTTATTATCGGAATCGCAGACCATTAAGTCATAATTTGATAATGTTTTAGTGAACACCTGACGTATTGACCTTGAGTAGATATATATTCAATTCTATACGAGAAGGTAACTATTTGCCTTACAAAGTTCAATTTGGGTGGTGTTGAAATAATAATAGTTCAGCTTGTGACCTTTCTGGTATTTCTGTCAGTTCAAAGCCAGGACAAACAGAAGGAACGTTATTCATAAGGTCCGCAACCTTATCCCGTACTGAACAAACTTGCCAAAAAAATTTTGCCTGAAAAAAATTTTGAACTCTGACCCGCGAGTCGCGTAATCTTCATTCGGATGAACTATGATGCCTCATGGTGAAAGTCGAGATTTTTCGGAAGTCACAGTGTTGATCCTGTAGCGGTAAATAAATCCCCAAAATAAATAGCTCTGTAAGTTTTCGACATTGGATGCTGACCACATTAGTTTCAGTGGACTCAATTAGCTGAAGGCGCTCGGTCATGCATCAGCACCAGATCACGAGTGGGGACGCCGTGCTCAACAACCCTTGCAATCGCTAGCCAGATTAGATCAGACGATCCTGGAAATATTGATTGCCTATCAAATATATCTTCGGACCTCCTCACTTCTGCTTTTGATTTCACATGATGGGTACGCTTCATATTAAGTGTTACTGGTTAAAGCGTTGTCAAACTCCGAATACCTGTGGCATCTTCAACTCATTGCTGAGAACTAGAGCAACAATTAAATATATATATATACAATGAACTAACAATACTGGAGATCGAGATGACCAATCAAATGACTACAAAAACGAGGAGATGTAACTTCACGTTTCTTGAAACCCAGGCTGGACAAAAAAGATAAAATTCGGGAGGGATTATGTTACAATCTGGTCATACAGAAGGCAACAACCCGCGTAAAGAACGAGTTGCACCTACACTATACTTAGAAACACGAAATATACTTATAGGATGGGAATCTAATCGATCCAGGGTCATCAAAGCATTCTTCAAAACAAAGAAGAAGGGAATCATGATGAATGTCATCCAATGTTATGCACTCACCAATGACAGCTATGAAGACGATAAAGATCAGTTTCATGACAGGCCGCAGTCGATCTTGGACAGTTTTCCAGCAAAAAACCCAACCATCTGGATGAGAGACCTGAACACCAACGTCGGAATGGACAACAACGGATATGAAGATATCATGAGATGACATGGATTGGGTCCGCGAAACGGAAATGTGGAGAGATTTGCAAATATATTTCCATTCAACAAAATGGTAATAGGCGGCACAATATTCCTACACAAAAGCATACACAAAGCTACTTGGGTTTCACTGGATCACACCACAGAGAACCTGATAGATCACATTAACACTGGAAAAAATTCATGGCGATGGAAGGCATCAGAAAAACGAGAAGAGCTGAGGTGGTTGCAGATCACTTGATTGTGGCCAAGATGAAACTTTTGCTAAAGAAACTTTGGACATTTGGGGATACACATTTTCAATACAGCCTTCCTTCAAAATACTAAAAAACTCAGCAAATTCAAGATAACTTTCAACAACAGATTCCAAACCCAACAAGATGTACAGAATGAAGAAGAAACTACGATGGACGACAATTGGGAAGGTGTCAAAGAAACACTAACTTAAACGTGTCAGGGATTACTGGGCCGTAACACGCATCATCATAAGGAATGGATCTCCACGGAAACCCTGGAAAAAATTCAGGAAAGGGAGAACACGAAAACAGCAATAAATGACAGTCGAATAAGAGCAGAGAAAGTTAATGCACAAGCTGAAAACACAGGAGCAAACAAGCAAGTGAAGCGGAGCATTAGAGCCGAAAAGCAAAATCCAGTGGAACACCAAGTAATGACATCAGAAAAAGCTTCAAGAGAAGGAAATATAAAACAACCATATGATATAACGAGGAAACTTATAGGGAAATATAAAAAAGCAGATAGATCGGTCAAAGACAAAGAAAGCAAACCAAACACTGAGTTTCAAGAACAAAGGAACAGATGGGTAAACCACTTCTAGGACCTCATGAACAGGCTAGCTCCACTGAATCAACCGGACACTGAGGCAGCATTTAGAGACCTTCCTATAGCACACTCTCAAAAAAATCAAGATGGTCATCAGACAAATCAAGAGTAGGATGAGATTGGGACCTGATATTATGCCAGCTGAATCAGTGAGATCAGACATAGAAGCAACCGCAAACATACTCCATCTTCTGTTCAGGAAGATTTGGGAGGAGAAACAGGTGCCGACAGACTGGAAAGAAGGATATCTCATCAAAACGTCAAAGAAAGATATGAGGAAATGTGAAAACTACAGAGGCATCACACTATTACCGGTATCAAGAGAATTTTTTAACTGTGTCGCTGGACCGGATAAAGGATTCAGTGGACGCCCAATTCCGAGATCAACGGACCGGATTCCTAAAGGATCGGTCGCGAACAGATCAAATCGCTAAAGCACGGATCATTGTTGAGGAGTCAGTTGAATGATATTCGTCACTATTCATCAACTTCCTTGGTTATGAGAAAGCGTTTGATAGAGCGGATAGAAGAAACTTATGGAAACTTCCCCGACACTTTGCTGTACCGAAGATCGTCAGTATCACAGGGAATTCATACGCCCGGCTACACTGCAAAAAGGTGCGTGGACAACAGCTGACAGATGCATTTCAAGTAAGGACCGGAGGCAGACATATCTGTCTACTCTCCTCCTTCCTCTTTCTGCCGGTGATTGATTGGATTATGAAGACCTCGACATCTGAGGGAAAATATGGAAAGCAGCATCGCAAATATGCTAGTTGTCTGAGTGAAACACATTACTGCAGTCGGAACTCTTTATAGTCAGTAGTAAGACTTTGCCTACGGACCTTGGGCTTGCTGCTTTTATTTTCACGTTCTTCAACCGACCTACTTGGCATGGTAGGACCCTGAGGAACGACTTGTGGAGGATCCTAATAAAAGAGCTTATTCAGGATATAACAATACGCAAATTTACTAATGATACATCAAAAAGAATTACACTACAAGTCTCTCTGTTTGTGAGTAGATCAACAGGTAACAAAATTACAGTTACAATATAAATGGTATATTAAATAACAGAATGATCACAGTTGTTATGAAATAAATGTTACTTGTAAGCTGCTCTATGGGATAACAATCACGAACGAGCTCATGCGCTTAAGAAAGTTCCTTTGCACATTGTGGTACCAACGGCAATTATTTAATAACAATCTGGGACAAAACTCCAACGCAATGTAAGAAGGCCTAAAAGGATGTTATAAAACTATTGTAAAATTCAAATTGTAATCTCAAATTCAGGCCTTATGAAGAGCGCCTCCAATCACTAAACCTTTTTCCGTTAGAGTAGAGGCATCTTAGAGGTTACCTTCTAATGGCTTACAGTATCCTTAACATTTCTGGACATCCACCTAAACACCTACTTAGCCAAACAATTATGTCAGTTACTTTAAAATTGATATGGAGATACAATAGATATAGAACATAAATGCGGTTACATTTGAATTGTAACAAATAGGTAAAATGTGGTCTTCATTTTGTTGTTAAAAGATCAGTGAATATACGTGTCACAGATTATTCTAGCCAGTATAGCCCGATCGGTTCATCATGATAGGTAAGTCCGACCACTACGTCAAGGTAGCAGCAACATTTGGGCTCTAAGTATCTGGCTTGACGAAGGACATGAGTGGCGCAAGTGAAATTTACCGCGGGATAAACATTCACCAAATATGTGCTCACCTATACAACCTGCTTTGGAATTCTTTGTTGGATCATTTTTTATATCTCCAAGAGATTGGGAATCATTAATAAAGAAACGCGATCTTGAGCGATCCTGAGAATGTGGTTCATCACGACTACTAAGCACATTACTAGAAATCTTCACAGACTGGGAGTCAAGTTCATTCCCTGCCCCATAGTTAACACATAGTGTTTCAATTTCTTGGACTGAGCTTTTGGATTTCTGAATAAGTTCTCTTTCTAAATTTGGAATATTTATCAAAAAAATAAATCAAGCGATCACGAAGTTGAATTTTTAATTGGCCTTCAGAATCGCATTTCATGGGCCTTTCCTGTAGTCCAAGTATAAAGTCTTGATTTTTCTGATCATTTTTTGAAACTTTGACTACTCTCTGTATTCAAAGCTAAGAAGTTGTACATGAATACATGGTCATCAAAGGCATTCAACTGTCCAACATTTGACTACAATAAGACTCCAGTATCATGATAAAAACTATTCCAATAAATGTGCCGAAAATATCCGACATAGTGCAATTCAAAGCAGGCCGAATTAAGTGCGCAAAAATGAACGAATATCACGGGAAAAACGTCAGACTGTTCCGATTTACGTACGATCACATTTAGAATATGGGATTCAAGCAGCGAGTCCTTGTTTCAAGTATGAAGCAGATATGTTGGGAAGAGTCCAACGACGAGGTACTGAGAAGGTAAATGGTTTATCTGACCTATCTTATGAAGACAGACTGAGACACCTTAACTTATTTCCGTTATCTTAACGTAGAATATGAAGTGATCTAATATTGGCTTATCGTATACTGAACGATGACCTTGGTATTAACATGTCTTATCTTTTACTTCCGTCTAAGACTGATCATTTGAGAGGACATTCGAAGAAAGTTCAAAAACTGAAATCAAATCGTTTACGTCTTGAGTTTCGTTTCTCGCAGAGTGGTAAATTACTGGAATTCTCTACCGGAACACGTAATATCAGCACCTTCTGTTGATATATTCAAAACGAGATTGGACCTACACAGTTTTACAAACTGCAAGGTTAGGCAACCATATGACAAATTTACCGTTTTCAGAATAGGTCTATTATTAAAGTAGCATTAGTACCGAACTAGACTACAATTATAAATACTAACAGGATTTACAATACAAAAGGCTGAGTATAGTTGTTATATTTATATATAAATAGTTCATTAAATGAAGGAATATGGCAGTAGTCAATATAAAACAGTTGTCGTCAACTTGTAAATTTTTTCTACACATAATCTTTCATATTCAGAAACTCGCTAAGTTGTTCACTGGCATGGACATGATTCTTAGGAAGGTTTGAGCCGTTGTCGGGAACCGTGAGTTGTGTATCAGAAAACGTATAAGGACTTTCTCAGCTTCATGCAATTCTGAAAAACAAACGACTAAACTTCGTTATCAGTATCAAATTCAATAAGTAAATGAAATAGCAGAATTTACCTATAAGTGTCTTACTTGTTGTAGTGTTTTTCACATTTCTAACCCTTCTAGAATTCCACCTAGTCATTTGGTATCAACAAAGAAACTGCAGGTACAAAATAAACGGATTCAAAATTTTTATTATTAATATGAAATCTGAGAGAAACCCAATTACAACGTTCATAATACTATTAGCAATTCACTGTTTAAATACAATAACGACAGAACTGGTAGGCACTATTTGGATATCAATCGTCAATGTGCATTAAAACTTTATCTATAATTTGATCAGTGATTGTGGATCCTGTTTACAGAAATTCATTCGTAAACCCTATAAGAGACACATCATAAATTAGGATTAACTGCAAGATGGCTAAGTTAGTATTCTCAAAACAAACGTGCATCGCTTTACTTATGAAGAATATGTGACTAATTAGTGTGGCATTTACAGTAATGTTATACACAGTTCCTGTATATGTTCATAAAACAGGCGGAAAAGGCTAACAACGTCAACTGTTACTCATATAATTTTTCTCAGATACGTTACGTAATAATATATCAGTCCAGTCGAAAACGGTTATACTTATAGTGGATAGAACTATTTATGGCTGTATATTAACAAGTTACATAACATTGATTGCTTCAATCTACATTTTATAAGCAACTACCAACATCCATGTTCGTCACCATCAAATGTAAAAGGTCTTAGAGCTCATTGTCGCGGTCTATTTTTGACTTGACAAATGGCGAATTTCACTTGTCCGAGTTTGCATTGTTACAAATAACCACATTAGGCTGACTAAACACTCATCAAGGTTGTGAGCAACAAATACGTCAAACAACTAATAAACAGGAATAAAAGCTATGTAACAAACACAAACATTATGAAAATTGACGTGAGACGGAAACAAATGGTGTTATTAGCTGATACATAACGACATCCGAAAACCTCGACAACATGTGACATGTGCGCGAAAACCCATGGCCCAACGTCCTGACCATGCCTGAACGTACCGTGTTGTAATTCGTAGTCAGCGCGTAATAATGAACAAATACCACAGTAACACTTCAGCTTATGGATGTTTAGTTTTATAATCAGACAGTCTGAAGTTATCATACCAATTCTCTTTTTATGAAACAAATAGTATTGATAGACGTAGTTTTGTCGAAAGAACTCTGTGACACAAGGATGTGCTGTATACTGTTGCAAAGCTGTTTTCGGACGTTTATTTAACATTGTTTTAGACAGGGAACACTAAACGTTTTAATTGACACCATCAAAACTTATATGGCGATCAATAAATATCCTTAAATTTTTAATTCGATAAACCACATTTCTCTGTACAATCAGAACTCAGGATAGATGAAATTCAGCATTACAACAGATTAAATTTAGATTGATTGTTTTGAAAATTCTGCTGGAGACGCTAAAACAAAGTACGTCGCACCTTAACTTCAATTCAGAAAAAAATTGTTTGGTTGAAATGAAATAGTAATATCGAGAAACGAAAGAGTGAAGATAACTGAACAATTTACGGAGTTACTTGATCGAAGTAGTGAAACATCATATTATCACAACAAATTATTGTTATTCATGTACGAATTACATTAGCAAAAAAGACAAACCGTTGATGTACTTTCGCTGAGTACTTTTCAATATCTTAACTGTCACCTCTTACAATCTCATTATAAGTAAAGAATGATACCAATAATGTAGCTACAAACATTTGCAAAATATCATATAGAAAGAAAGCTAAGATAAAAAGTTATGGGGGATGACGCTACAAAAAATAAACCCAAGGGAGAAATTTGTACCCGTTATAATCTGCACAATTTATGAGTTAATACCAAACAAATTACTGGCTTCATAAAATTGTGCTAGGTTTTAGTAACTGCTGTAGTGTTTAAATTGACAAGTTTCTGTATTCTCCATTAAGTAAAAGTAAACTAATCAGATTCTCGTATATTTCTGAGTGAAATTAAGAGCATATTGCTAGATAGCTTTTATGTTTTGACTTAGTAAAAACTGGCAATGCACTGCTTGAGATTGATTTTAAAAAGTATCTAATGCGCAACCATACAGTTAACATGAGATTATGTTTAGGCTGAATTACAAAAAATACCTGCTCTAAAGCAGATTTTGTGCTAATTAACCGGTTAGTCAAAAAACAGTACTTTATAGTGCATGATATAATTCAGTACAGCCAATGGTGTCCGTGTAGCTAGATAGCAGTGTCCCCCTAACTCCCGAATTTAAATCTCGACTCAAAGTCTATTTAAGTTTGTAAACAGAAGTGACAAAAAATCACTGTATTGTAGTTGGTGACAGTTCATGATAAAAACCCTAACCCTAATTCATAATCCTAATACATAAATTTAGAGTAACTACAACCTAACCCTAAGCTCTTTGCATTACAACCGACGTTAGTTGGTGGCGAAAATTCCATAGCATTATAACTTACTTCCAACACCAACCCAACTCCTAATATCTAAACTTAATTTTTTCTTTATGGTAATTAATAGTTTAGCATGTAAGAAGTAACAAACTATGTTAAAACCACTATTCCACCGTAATTTCATTGCTTTTCATTAGTAATTTCTGGTAACTACGCAGTGTTTGAGTAGCTTCAAACTATGACTGAGCTCCATATTAGCACAGTAAGAGAGAAAATTATTAAGATGAGAACCAAAGGAATATTAATATTAATAATGATGGTAGTGGGATGATAGAAGTAACAAAAATATACTATGAAATATGTAATTACTGAATTGCTACCAAGTTGATGTACTTAAAATACTGTTGACGATAAAGCCAAACTATTGAAGTGATAAATCCAAGTTAAGGTTTCAACCAGTGTAAAAACCATGGAAAATAAAGCTTCTAAGCCATTGAACTACATCATTACAGATAATATATCGGTATTATTTACGAAAAAAATACTAAGCATTAAAAAAAGCATCATAATCATTTATTCTGTTGCACTAATGAGCGAAAATGAATGAAGTTTCCAAATTTATTTGAAAAGTTTACGAAAGAGTGCTTACTACGAAAAGACATCTGTTAGACAAAAGGATTTAGATGAATTTAGAAAACAATGACCATTTTGAAATATGCTATTAATACTGAGTAAAATAACTAAATACACAATATTATGAATTATCGAAGGCTTTCAGAAACAAAGAAAGTAGGCAAAAGAAAGTCTCAGTATTATTGTTGATTACACCAAAACATCTAAAAATTTGTACGATACAGTGAAATATTAAATCAATTAGATTGATATTCACACTATACTTATTAATCAAATCTTATTGACATTAAAGAATTTCGGTAATATTACCCTGATTACGATCTACAAATAAACTAGTGCACCGTTGAGAAAATCCAGTTTCAACAAGTGAATTTTCCTAGAAATATCTATATTTAATGTACTGCAAAATAGTTTCAACTATGCACTTTTACATGTAATCAAAGAAAATCCATAAAGAGATAATTCTAGATGAGCACTAATTTTATACACGATTACGTCATAGATACATACAAGGAAATGTTATAAATATAATATTTATCTGATTAGTAGGATGAATAGATGATAGGAACACAAGTAGATAAATCCATATTATCTTAGTTTCCGACAGATGATGAATTCAAAAATGATGTTCGATTAACTGCGCTACCACCGAATTCTACAGCTTGTGAAGTTGCCTGACGTAGTAAAGATAACTGGTCCATTGAATTAGCCAGAAGATTATGTAAAGTGGTTAATTCCATATTAGTCAATTGACTAACTCGTGCTGTCGACGATCCACTAGAGAGGAAACCATTAACAGACGATAACAATTTCCCAACACGAATATCCCATACATCACGAACAATGTTGCGAATACTTTCAGGACTAAAATAATAGTAAAAATTATAAAAGTAGTTTATAAAAACCAGGGAGTGTTTCAGGCATGATATAGGGAACACAAAATGAGATGAGATCTAACATGAAAAGCTGATCACTATTCTTTTTAAAGCAAATGTGCTTAAATTTAACAATAGCCACTTTTAAAAACAAGAATACAGGCAAAATAATGTACAAAACACATTAATGAAGTAGATGTGTAATATATATCCAGCATATTTAGTTTTACTACGATAAACTAGGGTACACACACACACACATATATATATATATATATATATATATATATATATATATATATATATATATATTAGTAAAACAAAGTTTTTTTCACTAACTTCGGTATATCTTCAGCCGCGTGTTGAAGAAGAAGTGTACTAATTTCAATATATTGAGAATGAGGAGGAGAAGTACAACCAGAGTCGTTCTCTTCAGCTTCTTTACACTCATTTAACTTCTCTAACGTTAACCACGCTGGTGGCATAATACGACACTTTTGCTGCCCTCTCAGAAAAAGAGCAACCCAAAGAGGGACAACAGTTGGCACATTTGGGAAAAAAGGACCAATCTGTTGATTTAAAAATTAAATTGTTTTATAATAGTTGATGTTACTTAATATGTTAACTGTAAGTTAGTTCAGAAATAAAGTTAAGAGTACACCACTAATTATATGATCGAGCAGATTCCGTACGGTTGTGGTATGTGCTACCGATGCCGACAGATATAAGTAGTATATATCATCAATCGAAAGTGGAATGCCTGGCAGCAGAAGGTTGAGGAAATCGAAAAGAAGAAAACGAGGACGGAGAATGATTGGTATGGAAATGAAGGAACAATAAAGTTTAAGAAAATTGATGGACATACTGAAAATAATTATTTACAGCATGGTTCTCAGACTTTACTAAGAGATTAGGTAATTTCGTATTCAAATACGTTTGGTTGTCCCTGCTCTATGCTCTTGTTCACTAGACGGTTATCAGAACGAGATTAATACTGCCAATACACGAACCGATAGAAAGTATGATTAACACCCTGAGAGCATTATGTCTCAATAAATCACGCAATGTCGAACAACAAACCCTGGTCTTTGACTGTAAAGAATATATTTAATAAAAACACACCACTCATATAGATATCTTTTTTCTTTAATGATTCTCGATTTACTGTAAATGGTTGTAACTTGATTAGAAGTCATACTTAATGAATACATAGCATAGACTTTCGAAGTGTATTAAGAACAAGCAACGGACAAATTACTACATTGCACTTTACAGTTTTTACTGTTTTTCCATGATTTTAAGAATATTCACAAAATATGGGTCACAGTAAGCTCGCTAATTCATATATACATGTGAAATGTGAGGAGCTAACTTCAATGAAGTCGAAAAAGGCAAAAGTAATAATAAAAGTCATCTATAAAAAGAATCTGGCATAAAAGTGCATTAACCCAATTTTCTATACATTATATCAGCACAATGATAGGGAATTAACAAAATGGAAATTAAAAGATTCGAATTAATATCAGTGGTAGTGGAGGGCAAAACACTGGGAATAAATAGTTCAGAAATATGGAAAATCAGAGAATGGAAAGTATGGGATAATATTAGAACTTAATATTTAGAATAAGATATGAACTTTAAGTAAAACACTAAAATGGATCATCGGAATACAAGCTGACTGTTAACCATTAATTTTTTTAAAAAAATAACATTACATACGATAATTAATAAAGTTTTTATTTATATTTTATAAGACACAACTAGCAAAACGACAAACCGTAAGTTCTCAACGGTGAAGTCAATGATTAACAAGAAAATGTCTTAAAAATCTAATATTTGAAGTTTACATAAACTTTAAAACTTACAGTAGTATTGAGCAGCTTAATAGCATCAAGTTTAAACTTAGGTACTATGGTCAATCCTTCCTCTTCTGAAAGAAATTCAAGCTCCGCCGGATTCATTTAAGTAAATTAATTATGCCTAAATAGAAATATATATATATATATATATATATATATATATATATATATATATATATACGCTCAAAAATAACCAGAAAGCTGATGGATAAAAATTTATATCGATCACTAGACAGTATGAAAAAGACTGCACCACCCAGTTCAGTACGAAGCTACTAGTCTTCCGTTTAGAAGCATTTATCGGCAATAAAACATTACTACTCAGTCTTACAAATAAATTAAGGAAAATGATGCAGAAAATAAGTTCGGCAGCGAAAAAACAGATTTGCACACAATGAAATTAAAACAAATGGTCATCAACTAAAGACTACAACATGTATTACGAGGATTTCAAACAGCTTTAGACTGCTATCTGCTCTGACTGGTTTTTCAACTTACATACCCACGTTCATAAATTTTTCTTTTCGATTGAACTCCAACAAGTCATATCAAATGTCACAAGGTTGTTACTAGCTAGTAAAATCCAACGTGTCACTATTTAACTGGTCCTACAACTATGTTATCACTAATTCAAAAGCAAATCAAGTGGGGCATGCATATTAAACTATCAACGCTTACAGTCTATCTCTGTGAGTTCAAGGTATACTGGTGTTAGGTATTTCAAATTCAGGTAGCCCTGGCACTCTACCCTCGTACAGGCTTCTGGACACTCCAATCTCTCTTATGAGTCCGTCAGTCAACTACAACGTAGGACCAGACACATATATGCATCGGTCTAAGTTACCATACCTCATTAGCACAACAAGATGAACAACAAATTCATAGAAATAGTCACTTCAATGGCAGTAATGTATAAAAGAAAGATTGTGTATAAGGATATAGTATAGGAAGAAAGAACTAGTTGATGCAATAAAAGATATAGAGCGATGTTAATCTTATGGTTTAAGGGAGGACAAAGAGTGTATACACCGACGCCACTGTGACCGATTCTGAGTCATGTCACAGAGTCTCCAACCATCGGTTACGACAGTCACGCGTACCCCAAACCAGTAGTCTGCGTCTACCAACATGGCTTAGACCAGAAGTCAGTGACTTCAAGGACTGATGCCACGTTTTGGTTTGGCCAACCCTAACTTTCTTCCAACCGTCTCCAGAACTAGTCAGCATTACGTGTCGTGGTAATCGGTGTTCAGGCATACGTAACACGTGGTCCAACCATGTCAGTCGGTGAAGATTTACAACCTCATCAACTAATTTTCCATCGTTCCCTAATACCCTGTGTCTAACCTCACTATAACTTACCCGGTGATCCCAGCAAATGCGAGCAATATTTCTAAGACATCCGTGATCAAACACTAGTAACTTACGAGTATCTCTTACTCTTGACGGCTAGGATTCGCAGCCGTAAAGTAGAACAGAACAAACTGCTGAGTAGCATACTCGCCCTTTTATCGATGGACAGATATCTTCCCTTCACTTTAGTTGACGTAAGTTGGTAAAAGCTAAACGACCTTAATGAATCCATGCGGAGATTTCGTCAGACACCAACCCATTAGCACTGATCAGCCTTTCATTATAAGTGAATTTGGCGATGCGTCCGACTACTTCACTCCCTATCCTTAGTTCAGGTGTTGACGCAGGCCGGTCCTAAAAAACAACTTGCATTAAGAGGGAGGGGGGAGAAACGCATCCCAAACATCCTGACATTGTTGCTCAGTGCTACCAAAAGACTGCATTTTATCAACGTCTTCATCAAACAGGACTATGTCATCTGCGTACTCTAAGTCGATCAGTGGACCTGCTGGAAGGAGATCAATGCCCGATAATTCAGTCGACGAGAACGTTATTTCCATCAGTAGGTCTATGATGAAGTTAAACAAGAATGGAGAAAGTGGACAGCCTTGACGGACACCACTTGAGGTTGCAAAATTAGATGACAGTTCGCCATAAGCTTTGACTCTACTGGTAGTGTTCGAGTAAAGAGCCTTTACAAGGTTTATGTACTTCTGAGGTACACCTTTCAATGACAGACACTGCCACAGAACCTGTTGGTCTACAGAGTCAAATGCTGATTTCAAGTAAAGTCGGACGCCGATAAGCATGCCTATGTTTTAGAACCTGACGAATGGTAAATATGTGGTCGATGCAGCCACGACTAGATCCGAAGCCAGCCCGATTTTTTTCTGTTTGCACTTTACGAGTCTGTTAGGAGCCCGATAATTATTAAGGCTAGTATTTTAGATGCTATTTTAGTCAAACTAATCCCTCTATGGTTATCACAGGATGATTTTAACCATTTCTTATATACTGGGACAATCAATGATTGTGACCAGTCAGATGGGATTACATTCAGTTCCTAGATTTTAGCTAAAATATTAGTCAACCTAATCGCTAAATTTGGACCACTATACTTAAAGACCTCTGGAGCCAATCCATCTGGACCAGCTGATCTTCCTTGTTTCAGATTAGCTATAGCCATTTGGATTTCAGCTAGAGTTGGGGGACCTACTTCAATGTTCCATTCAGGCTGTCTGATAATTGTGGGTATTTATAGAGTAGCTGAAGGCCAGCTAAACTGTTCTCCAAAGTGTTTCGCCCATCGTTCTAAACGTCTGGACTGAAAACAGATAAGTGTCGTATTTTCGAGATCGCCTCACACGTGACTTCTTAATTCCAGTTTCTTTTATTAGTCTGAAGAGCTGCCTTGTATTACCTACAGCTGCTGCCTTTTCCATCTATTTTGCTTCGTTACTCATCACTGCTCACAATCTTTCTTTAGATTTTTGTTTAACTCATATCTGACTTGTTTTCGCTCTCATCGAGCCTGATGGGATGAGTTTACGAGAATTTATCAGTGCAATAGACTTAGCGAAAATTCGCTGGTTTTTTGTGACCCTTTGATTCAAATCAGTAATAGATGTCACTGCTGTTTGTATATCTTTACAAGCAATATCTGAGTCAGCCTAGTTCTCAGAACTACCAGAGTGACCTCAGTTGTTTCTGGAATCTACTTTTGGCTTCCTAGTCAATAAGTTTGACTCCATTATCACAAAGCAAGCTTATCATACCTATGAACGTATATAAGTAAAATCAACAAAGGTTGGATTGTTAACTTCATCTTCTGTCTCAGTGCCTGTCAGTAGTGACATAGAGGACGAGTAAGTTATACTTGGAATTTACGTCGGTGTCATACATTTGGAAAAGGACATGCAGTTTTACGAAAACTAATTTTCGCCGTGTCCGATTCAATCGTTAATGTCCTGCAAATTATTTCAAGCTGAAAATCGGACGGACGTGATGTTTGTTCCCAAAAGTTTATCATCGGATTATCGAGTTTACGGTTCCTTCTGTCAACTGAAGAGTAATTAGGGGCATTTGAAACGTCTTTAACAAGATTTGAGGGATAAATTTGTAGGTACGTTTATTTATTCCGTAATTCTTTAGCATTTTTATCACCCAGTGTTATAAAAAAAGATTCTGAAAAAGTTTGACATCATAACACTAAGTATTTTCCATGACATTTGAGATAAGCTAAATAAGCGTTATCATAGATGGGAGGACCATGTACGTAACATCTTTCGGAAATAAATTTCCATTTCCATTCTATAGATACACGGAACTATTTCAGCAAATATTGCTGTAGGTCTCACTTTATATTGTCATGCATTATATATAAACATATTGAAATACGTCACTAAAAGAGCTTTTATTCAATTTTAGAATCTACTTAGCAACCTTAAAGGCCCGCAATGACGACGCAAAATAGTAACTCCGAGTTTGTGTAATTGCTCATGCTGTATTAAGAATATAATAAACTGATTATTATACATACATCAACTTTTCCAAGGCAGTGTGCTTCCATAGAGACAAGTTTGACCTACATGGTAAAGGTGTAATTTTTCATCTCGTTAATAATGGGATCTTATTACTTCTTAATCATTTTCTTAATAAACCACGAAGTTACTGGTAACTCTTTTTTTCGGATTTCTGTCCACCATAATCATATTTAAACTCCCAACTTTAGGGAAAATTTCGTCAATTTTGGGGAAATCATAATTTACAAGTCTTAGTCACACCAGATGGGATGTGGTGATAGAGTAAATTCTGGAGTTACAGAATGCAGAGACTCGATGTTTTTTACTACTGGACCCAATAAAATAATTATATCAAACGGCAAGCCTGATTTTGTCTACCAAATAAAAGAGGGAGGCAGAAATATGTTTCGACCTTACACTAACACTTCTGATCATTGAATCATTCGCTTCTGGAAGCATAGGTATTTTTAAATGTTCAGCAGGTAGCCACGAGTGTACGTGGGTTACTATGGCCCCCAAATGCCTTGGTACGGTCGACGGCGGGAAGAGTCCACTCTCCTTTTTAAAATGCTCTCACATGGCCACGCGTATATAGCCACTGCCAGGGAAGTCATACTCACTGCCTTCTCGCGGCAGGGGTGGTTTTTACGAAATTGAGAAGACGAAAAACGAACATCCGGCACTTTAACCGGATTGGTAGATATGGAGGATCCACCTGAGGGAGTTGGAAAACCATGATGGCAAACCAATGGTGAACAAGGGCTCCAGGATCCCAAGGTAAAAAATGACGCATGAACTTATTTTTCGGTCACCGGCTACCACGGGACTGCATCTCCCAACGTTGCTCCACTGCCTTGTGGATTAGACATCTAGGTCGAAGGCTCGGGGAGTGACCGCCTACAAAAACTACTTGCTTCGGCTTGGGCGCCCGGGAAGCATTTTAACCCTTATACAAGTTGGGTGACGAAGTGGTGCATATATATTTGGTGCCTCCTTCTACTAGTGTTTTTTTAAATAAACAATTAACATAGCCAAACGATACGCTGCCAAGTCTACCGGAAAAACATAGGACGTAATTATGTGCAATAAAGAAGAGTCGACAGAGCAGCAAAACAAAAATACGACTGTTTACACACCTCGGAAAAACTAGAAGCTGCTGAGATGGATGCTGTATGCATACCAGTTTAGTTTACGGTTGTCAACATGTTGACTGGTAACTTCGCGCCAATAGTTAAGTATACACTAAATAGATGCTTATAAAACAGTTCTCCCAAAACAGCCACCACTTCCAACTAAATTTCTCAGAGTTGTTACCGAATAGATTTTATTCATTCATTTTTATGTCGGTAGGTCTCACGCTCGTACTACTATATGTCCACCATTTTTTAAAGCAATTAGTGATCTGTCGAGTCAGATCAATAAGATGAATTCGTACATTCGAAGTTCATCTAACATTATGAAAGACAGAAATACTTGCAATATAAATCCCATTTTTGCGATTTTCATTAAAAACACGGACTTAGCACTTTAAAAGCTGCATTGTAGGAACGAAAATTCCGTAATCAGTTCTTAAGTTCCAACCATTGTTTTTACAGATTCAGGTGACAAAGTTGTTGTCAGTCAGTTGTTGAAGATCATTGGTAGTAGTTTTCGTAAGTCTATGAAGGCAACTTTAGCTTACGTGTTGAAGTCAGAAATGCTAATAACTTATAAACTACGTAGAGCTTAAAGCAAAACGGCTATAAGTAGTTACAAATTCTACAGAGCGATTCACAATAAGTCAAGATAGTAGTGAACATATCTGGTTAGGTATTCTCTCTTCACGGTTTAAAAGTGCTACCCATCCTGAAAAGAAACATAAAAAGTGGTGGATACTGTGAGCCAGGATTTTCTGTACGACGTAAGAGATAAAGTATATAAGCGCGAATTGCGATCCAAAAAATTGTGCC